AAGGGTCCCCCTAATCCTAACTCCCCACTCAGTTTCGGAAGGTGGAAGCCTAAGTAATTACCGATATCGTTCGAAATAACTCCTTGTCATAGCCAATACTATGATCTACCCCAAAACCATGGTCTATTTACCAAGGCCTCGCTTGTGTAGGTGTTTCGTCATGGGATGTTTGAAGGGTTTAGTCTGGCTTTCATAGGTTTGTTGAAGAGAACTGGACCATTACAAGGAACGCCGATCATGTGCCACAGATCCCAGTGCTTATATGGTATCCTAAGCTTTATGTTGCTTTTCAACAAGAACTGAGCGATGGGTTCTTCTGACCCTGCATACCTCAAGATGCTGCTAGTCGGTGACTGTCAAACTTTGTGCATGTCAATATGGGCCTATAATATGGGAGCATCAGGAAATGCGAGACCCATCTAAAACCTATGATCCTAAATTCCTCAATGGTAGCATACATACGTAAAGTGGAATATTGCAATTTAAAAACACGAATACGTACGTTGACTTTTGGCGCCCAGAAATGAGGCACCCCGATAGTTTAAGAATTGCTTCGAGCCCCGATCAACAACTTGAGTACACTGCTTACCTCCCCTCGCCCTTTGCAAACTCTAAACTCCCTCGCCCCCCTACTGTACCCCAACCCCCCCCCCCCNNNACCCTAAACCATAAACCCAAACCCTATAAACCTCTAAACCTTTTATCCCTAAAAGGCTTTGCGGTGATTCTTCAGGAGCTGACTTGGAAGTGGTGAAGTCCGCAGGCGACCAGCTCGCACGGGTAGACCGGTTTCTGGGCTCTTCTGAGAACTTCTGAGGGAGCTAAGTTTTTGAGCTACTCGTACCGTAACAAATATATCTTCTTTTGACTTCGTGAATAGCATGCTTTCATGATTATGATGCCTGAAACTAAGTCTGTTTGGGAAGAACCCAGGATTGTCATGGAGCTGCCCTACGAGGTCGCTCATATGACGTACGCGGACCAAACCACAGAGGGGGATACCGAGACCTTCTTGGAACAGGCCGGATTCCGGATGGAGAGATGCTTCGCGGTATCGGAGCAGGAGAAAGACTGTACCTTCGCGCGTGCCCACGTTTGGAGACAGATACCATCGGAAGACGAGTGTTTCTCCAAAAACCGAACTGAGATGCTCTTCGAACTTTGGCGCGATCAGATCAATTACCTGTGCAAGCTTGGGAAGTATGGCTGCGAGAATTACACTCCCCCTCTCAAGACAAAGCGGACGTGGATAATAACATTCTGCTGCTCCAGGCATATGCCCGAACACGCCTGTTTTGGTCGGAAGTCGAACTACTCCTATGCGACGTGTTGCCTACCCCCATACTTGCTGTCTATTGGCTATCCGAAGCCCGGATACGTCATGTGATTGCAAGGTGTGCGATCTGCTAACAAGCTTTTGGATGCTTTCAGGTTGGCAGCTTTGACAATTGCCTTCCTGGCCGGATGGATCGGATAGATGCACAGTTATATATATATATA